GCAAAGTCCTAAATACGTTTGAAGCTTTCGAAAAAAAAACCAATATGTGAAAAACTAACCAAATGTACGCTGAAAAGAGAACGCAAGGGATGAGTTTTTCAATGCATATTTAGGCTCCGTTAGGCTTCGACTTTGCAACTCATTTGGTTCGGCGAAGGGGGTGGGGCATTTGCACATTTGCTGCTTTTCACCGACATATTGAGCCATCCAGAGAGCTGGTTCATGATCTTACGAGAGCTGACAGGCTTCAGTTTGCTCCTTCACAAGACCTCACAGTTTTCACCAGAAGGAGACTTCTAAACCGGAGCTAATGAAGCAGCGAAAGTGCAAAATGCCCCCCCCCCCTCCGTCCCACCCGTTGCTAAACTGCACCCGATGCTAGTTCGCGACGTGCTGTTCGGATCATGGTAGGGAGAAAGGTTATTTGCTAGTTCGCTAGTGTCTGTGGTACTATAAGGTCCGGAAAGCTTCGAGGAAAATTTTCATTTACCTTTAAATAGGTGTAGCGAATGAGTGCGATATAAAACTTACTCAAAAATGCTGAGAGAAAGAGAAATGCTCACTGAACAGAACGGTGGTGAAATGTAAGGCGTTGGGAGTATAGGCGTTCGTAAATATGTATTTCGATTGGTGTTAACTTATACCAGAGATGGAGAAGAACTCCAGCTAGTAACGCACTTGCTAACACCGGATATCAGGCAAAGCAGAAATGAGGAACTGTCGCCGATGCCAGACAAAGCACCCTCTTAAATTACCTGCAGTGTGAGTTCAAGCTATTTTCGATGTGGAATTCTAGTTTCGACGTTGAATATGCCCCTTTTTTGGTACTAACATTATTACAGCTTCCATGCAAAGTAATACTGCTCCAAAAACTAAGGGGATATGAAAGGACAGTGTTTATTATAACTATTGATTCTTATCTATTATTGTTGTCGAAAAGTGCAATGGGAAATGGCTGGAAAATTCAAAACTTCCAGATACCCTGATAATTCTTGCTGGGTTAGGCTACGTTCATACTTTGCGTCCCTTTGATCGTACGGCAGCATTTTTAGAGTTTCAGGCGTACGCCAGCGTTTTGAGCGTTTTCGCATGTAAGTTTTCATTTTTGCGGGCGGTCGCCAGCCGTTGAAAACACAGGATATCTACTCAAAACGTTAGGTCGATACCCATGCATTCCCAGTTGCTGGCGTACGCTAAAAACACTGATGCAACGTATGAACGCAGCTCCGCGTGACCTCGGTGCGACCTGTAGACCATGATCGAATGCAAACGGGCTCTTGCTACAGCATGGTCCACATGAGTTCAGAGGTCCTCACAGGAGGCGAAAGAAGCTGGGACTATGCTCCCATCATGCCGAACTGTGCCCTTCAAAACGAGAGCCGCGGTAACGCACGAAAACACAGCAGAGAACTTTCCAGCTACTTTATCCAACTGTGGGACTGCTACGTTAAATCAGTGGGGTCCTGACGTAAATACCGCGCACGTAACACCATTTCATTCCCCCTCCCTGATCGCTCTCGCCGCAACTCATATACTCGTAAATCCCTGAGATCGGGTAGGCGTGGCCGCATGTTTCAACTTAACCTGAAGGTGTCTATGCTTCTGGTGAGATATTTTCATCTTGACACAATTGTTGTCGTGTCTCTGTCCAACACAGAACAAGATGACAGTTGTCCCAGACTGGAATATTCCACGAGTAACCAGTTCCGTGCCATGTTCAAATGCCACGCCTACTCTGGCTCAGGGATAAGGAGTGTATGTGCTGAACCGTAACAAAAAGAAAGCGATATAAGCGAATAAAACAAAAACATAAAATATGGAATGATCTTATCGCGAAGCCATCTTATAATTAATACGGGAATCGCCTCACACACAGTGTGCTTGGCTGCACATGATCGGTTGTGTTCGCGCGGCTGCGTTTTAGCGCGCCGCCAAACCCATTCCCCACCAGTTGTTGAAGCGGTTAAGTTATACAACTACTGGAAAGCGGCTGATACGAGAGAAGAAGGAAATGGGTTGAGCCGCGCAAAATTTAGCCGCGTGATACGACCCATCATCTGCAGCGAAGGAGACAATTCTAGAAGGTAGAAATATAAAAAAGAAACATTGCAGGATAGCCTACCCATGACGAGGAGGTGGTTGAGCTCCACCTCGCGAAGTGGAGAGCATTGAATAGAGAACGTACATTATGAAAGCTGCAACGCAAAGGTTCGCAATGTTCTCGACAGTCAACCTGAACATCTGATCTCAACATGCTATAAAAGAACTACCTCATAAAAGGTCGAGCTACTACTTTACAACCCCTCAGAAATAAGCAGTTACCATACTCTTTGAGCACCGACGTTGGTCCACACTGGATTATCTATTTACAAACACGACTTACCAAGAAGACCAGGAGGACCATGTGGGCAATGAAGGCAGCGATGACCACTTCGACTTGCTTTTCCCTAGATCTCTCGCTGAATGAGAATACTCCAAATCATACTCTAGCTGAAAACAGTGTTCATATTTATTATCTATTTTCCAGCGTCACAGCCCCTTACTTACCCCACAACTTCCTTTCAAGATGTAAGGATCTTCGGGGTAATCGTAACCTTCACATGTAACTGTGACCTGAAATTTCAGTAACGTTCTTTTCAACTTGATTTGCAGGAATGAAACAGTTACTGATTTTTTCCTATAGAGAAATTGTGTATACATCCTTCAAAGAAGATACACAAACCTGTCCAAATTCGTATTCAGCAGGCATGTCAGCTACACACTTCCACTGATAGTCAACTCCGTCAAAGCCCTGCTTGAAACATTGCGCAGCTCGTGGTTTGAACTTTCCTCGTGCACTGCCACCCACACATTTCAGTTGAGGAACTGGACTGGATCTTCTACCTGAGCGTCAAGGAGGGTTAACTGAGCTTTGCAGACACTCCTCCTGGGTATTATCAATGTTTCTTTCTATTCAAAGAAGTACTGTATTTTTAGCAAAAAAAAACTGTCAACAAAATTGCAGCGAAATTAGACAGTGTGTGGAAATAGTTCAAGAGGAAGCTCTCCGGCCACATTCTTCAGGCAGATTTTGAAGCAGAAGGAAGGGCAGTCAATTGGGACATTGCCTTATTGTACAATAAAATAATTCGAAACTCAAAAACCGCCGACACAATACCCCGTCATCAATCGCTCTCTGCGAATTCAAAGCTAATTTGTCCCTACTATAGATGTCGTCTAATACCACTGTTCTGCAGGTCTCTGGTGGAGGATGACTGTACTAAAGCTGAGCCGCTTCGTAAAACGACATTCCAGTGTCCAGAACGTAATGGGCATGAGGGAAACCGTGAATTTGAGATTCATCAGAGATCAAAAAATGTTTACGATCACTGAGAAAAACCCAATAAAAGTGAACAACAAGGAGCATTGCTCTCAAGGTCAAACGTCCCACTCTCCCCCCCCCCTTCTAGCCACCAAACTCCAGCAGCAGCAAACGCCAGCGAGAGAAGCCAGCATGGGACTTCTCTCGCTGGCGATTCCGCTACGAATCTGTTCGGAATACTACGGCATTGCGAAAACAGAAAATCCACACAAAAGGGAAGTATGTAAGTATATCAGTTTGGAGAATAAGAGATCGGGCGAATAGTAGAATGTGCTGAGAAGGTTAGATACATATCGACTGAGCTCCTATTCTGCCACTTTCCCGTTAGGTGAAATCAGCCGACGAGCCTCTGAGTTTTGTGGTGCATTCTGCGGCTCGACGACCACGTTCGTCGATTCCCCTGACCGCAACATATGTTTAATAAGTTTTTCTGTGCACACGAGGTTGGTAGGTGGAACTTTTATTATGGCCTGACGTTTCGACTAGATCGTCTTCATCAGAGGCCTAAACGTGGCTCATGGTTTGAAATTGCTCTCTCTACACCGCCAAAGATCTCCTCTTCCCTAACGTTTCTGACAGACTACTGAGAAAACCCCGAAAATCCCGAATGAGAGGAAAGACTCACCCAATCCACCGTAGCGAGAGCGGGGCTTACTGTGCCAGTTCCATTCAGTTCCAACCCCACACTGTACTAACATCTAACTGAGCGGCTACTTCCGCTCTCGCTGTGGTGGACTGGGTGAGTCTTTCCTCTCATTCGGGATTTTTGGGTGGTTTTCTCAGTAGTCTGTCAGAAACGTTAGGGAAGAGGAGATCTTTGGCGGTGTAGAGAGAGCAATTTCAAACCATGAGCCACGTTTAGGCCTCTGATGAAGACGATCTAGTCGAAACGTCAGGCCATAATAAAGTTCCACCTACCAACCTCGTGTGCACAGAAGAACTTATCAAACGTAACAACAATGCCGAGGTTTTACGAAGAGAGAAGTTGGACACTACGAAACATATGCGTTCTTTTTAGCAGATTCCGTAATTCTCGCAGTTTATCGGATTGTACGTCTTGAGCAGCGTTCATAGCTTAACCGTAGGAAATGTCGATTACCTCACCATAATCGGTATTTTCAACGGTGACGCCGCGAAGATGAGATACGAATCGATCCGGCGTGCTCGGTATTTTCGATGTCGGATCGATGCGTATCCAAACTTCTGAACGCAATCGCGAAATCGTCAGTGTCGCAAGCGATAAACGCAGCTTCAAGGTATCAACGTGAATTAATCTCGTGAAAGATTACTAGCGTACCTATCAACATATGAAAATTGTCTATTTGAATTTAGTCATAGAAAAGCACGCACCCGTAGTGTATTGTCCCTCCCGCAAGGTGATTGTATCAACATCTCGGAGAAGCACGCGTTCATTAACACACTCTGAAATTGGCAAAGGGTCATGTGACGTTTAGATGCAAATAAAAACCACTGCATCAGAAAAGATTTAAAGAGTGTTTCTCTCTATAACTGGGTTATTAACTCGAGAGAAAATATAAATCGTGACACTCTTGAGCTTACTTAAAGGCAAATGGCACGATAAATCCCCAAGACGTGTACGATTAGCACGTCTAGCAAGATAGAATCGGCGCCCCGGAACAGGCTGCGTCTTTCGAGGAAGATACCCTTACGGCATTGTTCACAGTCGCCAGGCCCTGACGAAACGGCGGTTGGGAGAAAAGCAATAAATAGTCATCGATCGGAGAATCGCCCAACCGTCCAACCGCCCAACCGCCGCGGTTGGGCGGTTGGGCGAAAAGCAGTAGATGTGTATCGATTTCGCTGGCGAAAAACGCCACCGCGATGGAGCTAGCGTTTTGTCGAAGGCGAAAAACGTCGCGGTTTGGCGAAACGCCCGTCGATACGTACCAAAACCCTTTCGCCCAACCGCCAGTCGATATGTATCGAAAGCTTTTCGCCGAACCGCCGCGTTTCAGAGAAACGCTGGACCGCAGAGTGTGAACAATGCCTTATAGCGCCCTATCAAGCTGCTACATAATGACCCGGACGGCCAGCGCGCCCGCCCGTCCCACCTGCAATGTCCGACCGATGCTAATGCTCGTATCGCTTCATTTGCGAAGTACAATATGAAGCGAAATTTGGTATGAAGCGGCTGCGGTGCTGCATGGATATATGAGTACATACGTGCAACCGTATCTACCGTAGCGTTACTGGCTCGATGCCAACGGTAGATCGTCCGAAATTCGCCCTAGTCGTGCTGAACGAACGTTTTTGTTGCAGCAATTTGAACGTTTCTCTTCGCATTATCGCCATTCTACCGAGTACCAAATTATCGTGCTCTATGTCTCCAAAGTATTCAGGGTCTTTGACATCGTGGTCCCTTGACTTCCTCGTCTGGTACAACGTCAATCCATCGATCTCTCCCTACGTCTGGGGCTAGAACCTCTCCTAGCGGGGACCCTAAAGTGTGACCATTGGGTGCACTCAAGATATGAATGGCTCGCCCAGAGACTATCTTTCCCAAGTCCCAAGTGAGACGTCCATTTACTCACAGCTCATCCTCTCCTAGCTCATCCTCTAATCATAGGTTTCCTTTCTTATTTACTCCTTATAAATATAGGGGCAGTTCGGCTTGGTGGGGCATTTTTCTGGTTCACCGATCACTGTCAATGCGTCCTCCGGATACTGGTGAATAGAGCTGGACAGCTATGCAAAAGCAGGATCTTCGTTTACAATTGACAGGAATCTACAGGTCTTACCAAGGTGAGACTTGTAATTCAGCACGGAATCTGCCAAAAGAAACTAGCAAAAATATAACGCCCCCCAAGCCGAACAGTGCCTAAACATATTATAACAGCTATTATTGTCACTGTTGCTGCCTTAACTTGGTGCCCAAGCACAAAAACCATTAAATCATCACTTTTTCTTATGTTGAAGTTCCCTCTATAGATTTGTTTCGAAAAAGTTGTTCAGAAAGAACCAAACGCTGACGAAAACTCGTCCACTATTTCACTGCATATTCGTTTCATTTTAGCTAAACAAAAAATAAAAAGAAAAGTTACCTCCAAGTGTAATAAGTAACAATAAACCAGCGAATACAGTGATAAATAACCGCATCGGAACCGTAGAAACTGCAATGAGTCACTCAAAGACGTCTCAAAGTTAGTAAACGTCAGCAAAGCGCGAGCGTTGCGAAACTCGTGTCGAAGGGGCGGGTCTTCGCAGGGACAGGTGCGACCCTTGTACTGACCATGCAATTGAGGTTTTCTAATGAATTTAAAGACCACTGAGTGGATTCACACAGTATAAAAGAAAAGTTAAATGGGGTGCTAATGTAGTAGGGAGGGGCCACGCGGCTCGCGGCGAGTGATGACTCATCGACTCTTCTTTCTCCTCGGCAAAAAGAAGTAATTTCATGTTTAGGACATGGATATAACACCGTCCTAGCTATATTCAAAAGCTAAAACAGTTAAGGCTGAAAAGTGCGAAGAAACAGTTGTAGGCTGGAAGATTTTGCCTAAAATACAAACGATTGTTGCCTTTTTGTTGATTCTTGACTATAAAAGATCAAACATTTGTTGTTCAGCTTCTGTGGGATTTCTCAGCAAGTGTCCGGTGAATCTCGTTCGTTTTGTTCTAATATTAACGGTCCAAGTATGTCAGTGAGTGAAGAGCCGATGAGTCATCACTCGCCGCGAGCCGCGTGGCCCCTCCCAACTACGTTAGCACCGTAATTGGGAGTGGGGACGTTCTGTCGGTAGTTAGGCTGCGTTTATACTTTGCGGCAGCGTAGCGTAGCGCTTCCAGCGTACGCCAGCGGCAGTGCCGGGGAGAGGATGCATATCGATCTAGCGTTCCCAGCGTCACCAGCGTAACGCTAGCGTACGCCAGCGTTTCTCCAGCGTTTCACCAGCGTTTTGCTGGCGTTTGCAGCGGCAGGGGAGTAGAGACTATGTGGCCGTAAGGCCGCGTTCATACACACGGCCTCCGCGGCATCCGTGGCCTCCGTGGCCTCTGCGGAATTTTCAGATGAGCAAAGTATAGGTTGGAATTGGTAGGAAAGAGGCTAGGAGTGGTGGTGGAATTTTTCCAGCCGTTGGGGTGAAATTGCCTGAAATTTCAATTGTTTTACATAGGAGAATATGGGAGGCGAATGCAAAATAGTATTTTAATGGTTTTCTCTGGGATACGCCGTGTCCCTGCTCACCTTTGACTAATGAACCTGTGATGGGAGGGTGTGAATTCAATTTATTTATTTTATAGGTTGATTGGATGATCTTAATTGAGTGTTTAGGGTGTTAGGCTTAGGGATTGCGCCATGCATGTGACTCGGGTTCAAATTTGTATCAATAATTGCAAGGTGATGGGTTTCTACATTGTTATTTTCATGAAAGAAGCTCAGCGGCGCTGGATTGCGCCATGCATATGACCTTATGTGGAAATTTTATTTGTGATTATTAGGTTTTAAAGTGTCTACATTATGATTGCTTAGTGGACATTCGAATTTCTTTTCCTAAAATCTTACTATGTCTCGTCGGCCAGCGCTTTGTTTGCGTAATTTGATTGGATTAGGAACTAGTGAGCGGCTGACATGACCTAGGTGCTATGTTTGCACAAGATTAGGGGAGGAGAAAATTGTAACGTAGACTTACCATTCATCAGTTCTTGGCGATTCCTGGGCAGTCGTGTCCCAGGAAGTTCTCTTACCTACTGTTCTCCCGTCATGCCGTACGATAGCGACTTTTCCTTGTCCGACATGTCGGCCGGATAGGAATGCTGCTTCACTGATGACGAGCATGCCGAAAACATAGAAGAAAGTGTGGTGGGTTTTTTGTTTTTTTTTCAAATTATTTTTTTATTTTCAACTGGTTAGGTGTGGGTAATTTCCAGATGGAGGAGTGTGGCCTGTGCCGTCCTCAATGGTCCAACGCCGGTGAAATGCTGCAGGAATTGAAGGGCATAGAGGAGGAATGCCTGAGAGTGGCCGCCACCTATCGTGCCGTTGACGAGAAAAACCGAGCCGCTGCTCGGAAATGGGATGAAGAGCTGCAATGGGAGGCGGCTAAATATCATAGGGCGTTAAAGGTGAGTCCTAATGGTTCGAGGAGGAATTTTTTATTGGGGAACTTTGCTTTGCATTCAAGTCTCCTTTTTTTTTAATGTGCTGGTTTTTAGGAAAACCGAGAGGCCTGGGACGTTGTGTCCCGGATGACCCTTGGCCTGGGCTGGACTCGTCCAGCCCATTCCAGTCCCGAGCCGGAGTACCGGCCCAGTGTCCAGATGGATCTCGAATCTCCTGCAAGTCCATCAATGAGCCGGGGCTCTCCTTAGAGCCCATGGTGGGTTCCGTTGAGCCCGCAGGTCTCTCTAGAGCCCAAGGTGGTCTCCGACCCAACACGGGTGAGGAGGCCACTCCTGAGAAGGCCCTTTGCTTGTTGAATACTTGAATTACTTTGTTCTACTTAGAAGAATAAAGATTGTTGTTACAATAGTATATTTTGTTTTCGATGGTCATTCACCATCTTATTTACTGTGTGATTGGGACAGCTAATTGGAGACGAGGGGGGAAACTTTCTTATTATCGGATAATTATCTTTAGAAATTATGCAGCGCCGAGAAATGAGCAGCCCTGTATTGGAGATTATGTTGAATGTCCAACTAGAGGTGGTGAGTAAAATTTTTTTATGAGTATCTGTTCCCAGTGTTCTTGGTTGTTGTATATCCTTCTTTTTCAGAGCAGAAGAGCTAGCGCCGATCAAAACTTCGAGGAACGCATGATGGAGTTATTAGCGGTGGGGTTTATACCTTTATATGAAGAGGAAAAGTGTACTAATTGAGGCGTTTCAGCCACCCGTATGCAGTGGCTGTGGACAATCGGCTTCCACGGTCCGGGATATCTCAGAGAAGAAGAGCCGGTACCTCGAATGGCTTGCGGAGATGGAAAGACGCTGGAGTTCAAGCAAGCCCATACTGACTGGCGCAGGGAAATGAACAAAGGTATCAAGGATCACTATCAAGCGCGTACTCTGATGTTATGCCAGGTAAGAGCGAAAAACAAATTTATATGAAAAAATTTTTTCAAAGGTTGGCTTGAGACCAAGACAAGAAACTAATTTTTTTTCCAGGATACGAGGAGGGCAAAAAGGCATGCCCGAGACTTGGAGCGGAACCACGGCCCTACTCAACGAAACCAGAAGAGTCTACCCGGCTCAAGTGCCCGAATCCGTGGGAAGGACCGGCCTAGAGGAGCCAAAGAGAGAAGAAAGAAAAAAAAAATTGATGATTTCACTGTTAATTATGAATCAATAAACACTGTATTACGATGCGACCGCCCAATTAAGTAAGTGATTGTCAGGAATGTATTTTCCCCTATGACTATTTTTTCGGAATCTGTAGAAAGTGCATATGAGGTCCTTTGCTGTGATTTGTCTATTAGCCTGTCCTTACTGCGCCTCATTCTGATATACAGGACACCTAGTTGCACGGCTGCTATGTCGGGTCAACTGACTAAGGCCATAAGCGACTTGGTTTCATGTAGGCATTGTTCTATAGTTATCGGTGATTTGAAACTTCCCCTGCATAGCCTGGAATGGCTCAGTTCAAGCGCAACCGACTCCAGATTTCGGCTAGTGCTCGAACATTTTTGGAGATGTGTAGAACCCACGCACTAGAACAATACGTCAACACTGCCACCCTAAACGAGAATATACTTGATTTGGTTCTGTCCAACGGGGAAAACTTAGTCACTGGACTTGATGTACTGCCGCCGTTGGGGTCCAGCGATCATGCGACCATTAGATTTACCATTAACATCCATAAATCGGAAGAGAACCTCACTATGAAAAGGGATTTTTCGAAAGCAAATTATGAAGAAATTGAACGTCACTTGACAAATGTGGACTGGTTCGGCTCTTTAAATTGTGTAGACACGGTAGATGCGAAGTATGAACTTTTTCTAGGCATTCTTCTCACACAATCGAGCTTTTTGTTCCGGTCGTTAAGAAGACATCAGGGAAATCACCCCTGCCCATCTATATCTCTTCTTTGGTACGGAAACGTGAGCGGGCATGGATTAGAGCGCAGAAATCCAAGAGCACACAAGACAAGCTGGAATGCGACCGTTTGAATATGAAGCTGGCTAAAAAGCTCAAAAAGTTCAACACATCCGTTGAGAAAAAGGTAATTAGATCAAAGAACAAAGCCGCGTTTTACAAACTTCTAAAGTCGAGATTAGCTCAGAAGGCAAAAATTATGGCGCTTCTTTCTTCTGATGGATCCCCAGTCTATAAAGATGCCGATAAAGCAGAGTTGCTGGCGGACACTTTCCAGGAAAATTTCCACCATTCTGGTAATGATGAGGGCACGATTTCTACCGGAACCAAATTCCCTTTAATGGAGGACTCAGTGTGGTTTCACCGGGATGAAATAACGAAGTTACTGCTTGAATGGCCGCAGTCTAACTCGCTTACTCCAGACTTCATCCCCCTCCATTTCATTAAGAAGGTTGTTCATCATATAAGTGGCCCACTAGAACACATTTTCAATCTGAGTTTCATGAATGCAGAAGTACCATGTCGCTGGAGACAGTCATTCGTAACGGCAATTCCAAAGAAACCTCCATACTAATTTACCGAATAACTTTTAGGCCAGTCAGTATAACCTCTATTTTTGCGAGACTCTTTGAAAAGATCCTGAAGAAACGTATCGTGGAACATCTTGGAAAGCACAATATTATATCTCCTAAGCAACACGGTTTCCAGGAAGGGAAGTCTACGGTAACCGCCATGATTCAGTCTCTCAATCATTGGACCAGGTGTTTAGATGAGGGTAAACCTGTTGATGTTGTGTATCTCGATTTTTGCAAAGCGTTTGACAGGGTCTGTCACAAAAAACTTGTTGAATAAAATGAGCGATGTAGGAATCCACCCACGCATTACGGCATGGGTTGCGGCATTTCTTTCAGGACGTCACTTCTCGGTTCGTATCAATTCGTCATTCTCTTCACCTAGGTTTGTGCACAGTGGAGTTCCGCAGGGAGGGGTCCTTTCGCCTGTGTTGTTCAATATCTATACATATGACCTAATTTCTATTGCTGAGCAATCCAATGTTGAGATGTG